ACATATGTTTCATATGTTTGTTGTTGTTTGATTTATCATCTACGGGTTTATGTCGAATTAATTTGATGGCCTGCTCCCAGTTGGCTTGTTAGCTCAATTGGTAGAGCGCTGCACTAGTATCGCAGAGGTCAGTGGTTCGAATCCCGTACAGGCCTGAATTTTTTTCAGGTCTGATTTTCACTATTGCTTAAATAGTGCTTTACTGCGAAGGATCGTGCACATATACGTTTCATAACCGCAGTTCATATATATGTATTTCATATGTTTGTTGTTTGATTTATCATCTACGGGTTTATGTCGAATTAATTTGATGGCCTGCTCCCAGTTGGCTTGTTAGCTCAATTGGTAGAGCGCTGCACTAGTATCGCAGAGGTCAGTGGTTCGAATCCCGTACAGGCCTGAATTTTTTTCAGGTCTGATTTTCACTATTGCTTAAATAGTGCTTTACTGCGAAGGATCGTGCACATATACGTTTCATAACCGCAGTTCATATATATGTATTTCATATGTTTGTTGTTTGATTTATCATCTACGGGTTTATGTCGAATTAATTTGATGGCCTGCTCCCAGTTGGCTTGTTAGCTCAATTGGTAGAGCGCTGCACTAGTATCACAGAGGTCAGTGGTTCGAATCCCGTACAGGCCTGAATTTTTTTCAGGTCTGATTTTCACTATTGCTTAAATAGTGCTTTACTGCGAAGGATCGTGCACATATACGTTTCATAACCGCAGTTCATATATATGTATTTCATATGTTTGTTGTCTGATTACACGAGTAATAACCTGGTATCTAGTTACATAACAATGTCGCTAAAGTAAAACTGATAAAACAATAACAGTAAAAAATAACATAGCAACAACGCTAAAGTAAAACTGATAAAACAATAACGGTCAAAAATAGCAAAAGACTAGAATTCGGTTTCACTGTGCAATAGTCATATGATAAAATGTTTGTAGCCTCATTTCACGATTGTGTGACAACAGCCCTCGGGATCCGGAAATAACTCCACTCGCTTTTCGTGTTTATCAGTTGATCTTGTTGAACTTTACTTATTTGGATTGATTTCGAGATCTTGGCTCAGCATAGCGTCACCCCGAAAAACTCCCGGGACGTTCATTGTGAAGCCTGGTACGTTACCGTCATGTTTCTCATAGGAATGTCTCCATATCCCCCAACTTTTCTCCCTCTGTTCCAGAGCTCGCAGGTGTTCCTATCCGCGGGTGTATGCACTTCGTGATGTTTCCCCAATGTATTAATTGCGGCAGAGTTGACATACCAGCTCATAATGGACACCGATACTTCGGCAAGGTCCTTATCCCCCGGTGCTGCAAACCAGACAGTTCATGTTGTTGTATTCATTTTCCCTGAACGGGTCTGACCTTTACAACATCCGCTTGAGGGTCACACCTGATTGCTCGACTACTTTGATCTTGAAACCCGCTCCCTTAATCTCCTCTCTCCTCTCTGTATCGGTTTTTTAGCAGAGACCCTGGAGTTGCTGACACGAAGATCACTGTGTCAAACCCTCCCTTTCTGTACCACAATTCCCACTTTCCTCGTCTCTCTCGATCCCGTTCTAACCGTTTCCATTCTCTCGGTCTGTACAATAAATAAACGAATAAATAGGTTTTACAATAAATTTTACAATAAATGAATGAGTAATAAATAACAGCAAAAAGTACCAACTGTCGTATTCCATTTTAAAGGCGATTTAATGACTATATACATACATTTGTTTGTTTTCACAGCTGTAAATCATTTCTAGGCAATTTTGTCGCTTTTTGGAGGAGTTGGAAAAACTGAAACGGTGAAACGGAAGACCCTAGCTGAATCAAGGGAGATTAGATAAAGGAAACCAAGATATATCAGTTCATATTCACTTGAGGAAACATATATGTTTAATTACATCTTTTATTGCAGATTCGGAAGGCGTATTCTGGAGACTTTAAATTGAAAGAAGTTGTAATAATCTCAATGAGGTAACACATCTTGTTTTCTAGTATTACCGTCTGCCATAAGCACTATACGATTATTTTAACGCTTATACTATTATAAGCTGTTATCTGTTTTCTTCTTCCGTTCTTGCTTGATATGAATAAACGAACGAACTAAAGAACAGACGAACGAATGACTAAATGAATGAATGGATGAAAGGACAAACGGATGAATGGATGAATGAATGGAAGAATGAGTGGATAAATGAATGATGAACGTATGGATGAAGGAAAAAATTGCTTCAAGAACTAGCACTATGGACTTACCAACAATAGTTGCTCCTGCTTCAAATTCCCAAAAATGCCCAGCACTTTATGCTACTTTTGTCTGTTTGTTTTTCTCAGAAAGGGTAGTATAATAGCAGAATTTCAACTGAAGTTTGATAAAGAAGTAACGGCAGAAGAGGTCCTTGCTCCGCTGAAAAAAGAAACAGCCGATGGTAAACTGGGAAGTTTGAAAGTTGACCCAGCCTCTCTCAAGGAAACTGATCGCAAGAAAGGTGAGATGTTGCGTGTGTTCTTTTGTGTCTGTGTTACTGGAGGCCACGTTTGGGGACTGGCGTAATGGAAACACTAAAGTTATGCAAATTGCCTTTAAATGATAAAAAATCATCTAGCATAACAAAGTGCAGGTACATCAGTTTCACATTTCTCCCCAAATATTAAAGATCGCAGATTTCCTCGCAAAGGCAAGTTTAAACAAGGCAAAATGACAACAAAGTATTGTAAAGTAGCGTTTCATTTAACGCGAGATTTTATCATCAAACTGTGTTGCGCTGCCTACCCAAAGGCTACGTGATCAGAAAAAAAGTTGTGGATGCAGAGTAACACTTCTGTGCATGTTACTCTTAATAAAAATAAAAAAAATATCCAAAAAAACATAGAATACTTGTGGTTTTCTGTGAGTAACGAAGCTATCTGACTCGTCTGTGTTGATAGTTAGCCTTGCTCAGTCATTCAGCAACCCTCATGTAGCCATTAGTTATGATCCACACACCTATCCGACTTTTTTTTACCCAACCGCGTTCTCTGTTAATCCTTACTTGCAGCTGACGATGATGATGGCGAAGAAAAACCTAGTATCGGCAGGCTGGTGATAATTGGTGCTTCTATTGGTGGTCTCGTAGTTGTGGCCGTTCTCATGATCGGTTTCTACGTCTACTGCAAACGTACTGGAACCCCTAGCAACGGCGGTCGCTTTGAAGATGGAATGCCTGACGACGACCCTTGTGAGAAATACGAGCTGAAACCAGCAGACGATGAGAAAGAACACATTACGAGCATGGAAGAGAAAGGGATACATAACGAAGGAATGGAATAGATCAGGCTTTCACTCCTTTAGATTTGTCCCTCATGTGAATTTATCAAACATGCGCTTTTTTAGCAATTACAACAGTGCTTCCTGAGTTTTCTTAAGGAAAATTGCATTCTCACGGATAACTCTTTGGTGTTGTTTGTCGTTAGTGATTTTAATCTGTGTTGCTTATGATATGGTTTTCTGATAAACAGGTCACATACATCCTGTCCATCATGTAATTATATTCTTCAGCGTAAACTATTTTTATCATCTTTCTAGAGGTGTAAGTGGTTGTTTCTCTACCTTCCGCGTTTTTCTTAAAGTACTGCTTTAACCCGAATAACTTAGTCACAAATTAATTTCCCATTTCTTTTGATGTTGAAAGAGTAAAAAAGCACTGTTACAGTAGCAATCATTAGGCCTGAGACCCACAGCTTAGTTGTATTCGTATTGTGTTTAGTATTCAGCGTTTGCGGACGCACCTTTAAATTACTACATTTGATTTCCTTTGCATTTTCTATACTGCTGTTTTTGCTGAATAAATGAATAAATTAAAGAAACTGTCGTGCTGCATCGGTGGGGGTAACAAGGTAATTTGGTTTTATCAACCAAGTTGAAATTGTAAATTGGCCGCCGTAAAGAATTAAAAAGCTGACGTTTCTAGCGGTAGCCTTTCGTCATTTGAGTAGTTTAGGAAGTCTACCAGCCATTTTCCGAGTAGCCGAATATTGATGAGCCGAAGTTGAGCCGAAGTAGAGAGCCGAAGATTGAGTAGCCGAAGATGAGTCGAAGTATTGAGCCGATTGTTAATGAATGTGTAAGCAGGTCATCACTTTTTGTCTTCCCGTCCCACATGGATGGGACTACAATTACGGTTTCACATATATACCTATCCCAATTTATACTCAAAATAACAACTCACTAGAACGCATACACAACAAAGCATCTGTCACTCTACGTTTACGTCAGTAATAATACGTGAGTGAATGATGACCTGCTTACACATACATTAATACTCGGCTACTCAATATTCGGCTCAACTTCGGCTACACGGCTCTCGGTCCCAATTTGACCGCGCCATTTTTTAATTTATTTACAAACTCGGACCCAGGCCGCGCGGTAAATGGCTGGTAGACTTCCTAAACTACTCATTTGCTCTGACGAAGGGCTAACGCTGGAAAAGTGAAGTGTACATGGGGGACTTTAAATTCATGGATGTCTATGACGGCTTCCCATTTGCCTTCATTTATTACCATATCCACGCACTTGTAAAATCCAAATTTCAGTTATGGTAACACTGATAGTTGACACACAAAGAGGACAACAAGATTGACTGGTAGTCTATTCCAAAATGAATTTAGTTAAAGCTTATTCTCTCCTGTAAACTTTTTCCCCAGTTTGTATGTTTGTTGCACCATGAAAAACATTTTTGTGTCGTCAATTTTTTTGACCCAAGGTATTTTTAGTTTGAAGGATAAATGTAAAGAAAATTTACATAAAATATGTGGCCAATCCGTTGTTGAGTACTTAATCTATCCAATGATACGGCAGTTGAGTTTCCTCTACTGCCTCCTTCCCCCGCTCTTCCCCCGCCTCTCGCTCTTCAACTGCCTCCTTCCCCCGTTCTTCCCCCCTCGCTCTGCAACTGCCTCCTTCCCCCGCTCTTCCCCCCTCGCTCTTCAACTGCCTCCTTCCCCCGCTCTTTCCCCCTCGCTCTTCAACTGCCTCCTTTCCCCGCTCTTCCCCCCTCTCCCCCTCGCTCTTCAACTGCCTCCTTCCCCCGCTCTTCCCCCCTCGCTCTTCAACTGCCTCCTTCCCCCGCTCTTCCCCCTTCCCCCCTTGCTCTTCAAGCATTATAACACAGAAACCCATCACAATCATGAAAACATAGCTAAAAACAAACAAACATAACACAAACAAAAGCAAAACGAAAAAACAAGAAAGAAAAAAAGAAATAAAAAAAGTCTCTGTATCCCATTTCTTTTCGTCTCATATAGCCCCTTATGTTCCGTGGCCATGCACGCGGTGTTGCACGGCGAAGAGCGAAAGCCATCGTTAGACAACCACAAATAAAACGACAGTAAAACCTAAAGGCAAATTATATATAGCACAGTATAGCACTGCAAAGGTACTGCAGAGGTCGTAGGAAGAATTGTTGCGTGACAGACTCAAAAATTTCATTCATATTTGATTTTCTTCGCCAAGGTTTTGTTGCACTTTACCTGTCATATCTCTGACGTGTGACCGCGCCTCTTGATTTCTGGAAGGTTCGAGGCTTAGAATTAAATAATTTGTCATCTAAAAAAAAAGGATTGCCGGTGCTTGGTTTTTTACTTCTTGATTATTCAAAGATATTTTAAACATAATTAACAAATCTTAATCATACTTAACATTTATATGGCGAATCCCAAGAAGGTTTTCTTAAATATCGACTAAGAATCTAAGAAATTTTTAAAAAAAAAGGCATTTTCAAAAGTCTAAGTATTTCGAAGGTGTGTGAAGTAGGTCAGGGATCTAAACAACTTAGGTGAGTCTGGTTCGCTAATTTGTTCTTACCCGGAAAAGAAACTCTTAGGTCGACAGCTTGCCTCAGTAATTACCTTCTTTGTATAGCTGAAAGAGCCGTTAAGATCGAATTTTTATACCTGCAGTTTGCCAAAATTGATGAAGAACTAACAGGCAAAGCATAAGAGCACAGGGCAACGATCGATTTTCCCTTTGAAAATTATATTCCTTATACATATATGCAAGTCGCTTCAAATTTTATAATAAGATTTGCTTTGTCAATAGCAAAGCTAATGAATGTAAAAGAAAATTAAAGAGATTTTTGTTTGGGTTCGTGGTTCAATTTGCAATGTGGCGAACAGAAGAGATTGAATCATTAGGGTGGGAAAGAAAGACAGGTATTTAGTTTTATCCTCCCACTTAAAGAAGGTTGCTGAAGGTGCCCATTTCAGAGTAATATACAGATTCCTGCTGATCCTTTCCATACACTTGAATAACCTCATGGAGGGGTAAACTAGACAAGTCTACAGTCTCGAGACATTACTTCCTATTAACGCTTTACATTATTACTGCTTTACATTATTATTGCTTCCAATCGATTATTCTAATCAATGTAATTTAAACAAATACGTTAAGGGCCTCCCGTATCTTCTATGGAGCTATAGCAATAAAACTCCCCTGAATTACTGAATCTCCTCTAATTACGGAATCTCCTACTAAAACTCCTCTGAATTACTGCTAAAAATCCTTTTGATACTGGGACCAAAGCAAAGAGCTTTCAATACGTGTCCTGCTGGGCTATTTGTCAACATCTGCTTAAGTTTGTTTCAGTTTTCATCCGGAGAATTGCGCTTATAGCTTTGACTTAAAAAGACGTGAACACATTTTGTCTTGTTACTTAGTTTCTACTTCACTGCCTAAGGAATGATGAGGAAGCACGCTTGTCTGCCCTTTGCCGTAATTCTTCTCTTAATTTTCGTCGTAGATGTTAATTGTTTTAATGGTGGCTTTCGGAACGGAAAGAGAGGATTACTTACGAAAGGAAAGGTTTGAGTTTGCTTGTTTTTTTCTTCTTTTTTTTCTTTTTTTTTTTTGCTATTTCATGTTTGCATCTTGCCGATTTATTTAACGTTTTTAATGCGATTCCTCTTTTTCCTTGCGTCAGCACGAAACTGTTCTAGTGAGGGATGCAACTGACGTAGTAAAAGATGGGAGAATGAATAAAGATACCCGGTTTCCGTTGAGAATTTTGAGGTCCAAAAGGATGCCAATTAGCGTTTGTGATCTGGCGAGAGAACTTGGATGCTGATGAATGGAACGAAGGTCAATCTTGAACTCAAAGGCGTTGAAGGAAAATAACTGGTGAAATCTCGAGACCTATAGTAAGCACGACAACATGATTCTATGTCAGTCAGTTAACAGGATTTGTAGTCTAATTCTTTTAATGGCGACTTTGACGGTGTAATAAAATTTACAAATTTCATCAGTTTTAATTTTCATTACTGTCTCTCCAAAGGTCTACGCTATCATCTTTGCTTCCCTCCGTCTGTCGAACACCTTAAATTCTAAGAAAATTTCCATTTAATTCAAATGTAATTTTTCTCTTGTTCGCTTGCGTCGTTGTTTCTTGTCCAAACGTCATCTCGATAACCATTGGATTCTTTGCTTGGTTGTCCAGCACAGCACGCACTTGCAGAATTCCCAAGCTAAAGTACAGGGCAAAAAGCAAGTGTCCATTTGTAAACGTGTGTTCAAATATAGAAGACTAACTGGTATGATAATAGATTAGATTTATATAAATTTTCCCTCTATTCTTTTCTTGCTTGTTATTTCACCATGATAACTTTGATCAAAAGCTACGTTGTATTGTACTTTTTTTCTTCTCAAAAACGTGAACTGTTATACAGTGTATGACTATATACGAAAATGTTGAATATCTTTTAATTAAAGTAACATACTATCTTAGAAGTCAAGGGCCGGTTATTTACGCGTGGCCTAACCCGAACTGCGGTTTTATGCAGGCAGTGGGCCTTACGGACGTATTCTCTATAGAAGGGTTGTTTTTATCAAATATATGTCCTTCTACTGCCAGCGTTCGGCCCTCTTGACACATTGTTCACAGAAATTGACGTTCGGATAAAAGATTCAGTTAACTTCAAAATAGCTTTTAGCGCCGCTTCGTTGAACAACGGCTAAACTTTGTTTAAATAAACGGCTCTTTAAAATGTTTTACTGAAAGTCTATATGGAGATTGAGAGATTCTTCTCGTCTATTTTCCGAACGCCCCCTCATTTCCTTTGATAACGTATTACTCGATAGATTCCTTCGCGAGGTTCCAGGGTAAGAGCTATATATATCTTATTAACCAAGCGTGAGGGCCATACTGAGAGAATATCGGCCCGAGGTCTTGACAGTACGGACCTCACTGTGCTCGGTCCGAACAAAAAAGACCGAGGGCCGATATTCTTCCTGTACGGTCCCGAGTAAGATTGGTTAATAAGACATTTATGATACGACTGAAGTTCAAAGGGACACAAGTGAGGTATCATTCGGGACCATTCGGGACAGTGCCCGGTCCAATAGTGAGAGAATATTGACCGGCAATAGAGCATTTTGATTGGTTGATTTTAGTTATTGGCCCTCTGACTGTCCGCGTCGTGTAATAAATGTTGATCTTACTCGTTAAGATATCCTTTAAATAGACTTGAGTCATACTTTTCATATTGTTTTTAATATTTTTTTGTAACACTCAGGGGATATTTTTTTTTTATTTCTTGTTCTAATTTCCTATTTCATTTTTTACTATGGGGACTAACTCACCTCTCTCAATTCTATTCTGATTGAAAATGCTGTTCACCAGCTTATAAAGGCGATACTAAAGGTGCCCCTACGAGGCTGTCAATCTTCTTGTATCGTCCTCGTTCTATCTCAACCAGCGAATCACGTTAATTTTCGTGCAACAGTTCCTGCATAGTAAGTAGGCGCCTTCGAGTTGTTTATGTTTTACAAAATCGTTTTATACCTTCAATTTCTTACATTTCCATTTTAATTCCGATGAAACAGACACAAGATTGGTCATAAAAAAATTATGATTAACTTATTGGCAGAACTAAAATCATACTTGGAAAGATATCTTAAGAGAAAATAGCCTTAAGGGGTTGTTACATAACCACAGAATAAACAGAAAATTCGGAGAAGAAAGAGCGTACACAAGTACCGCATCCAAAAAGACTAGGTGTCAGTTCACACGACTCAGTTGATTATACATCCAATGCGGAATATGAAAAGTACAAATTGCTTACCCTTAAGGTCACCTTAAAGAAAGAGGTGTTGAAGGTGTCAAATTAAATTTTAAGAAAGATGAACTGTTTTCTCTCAGAAGGAAAAGCTAACAATTACCCTACTTGCAAAGTAAGACCGCCATTGATATTTTCTTAACATCTAAATAAGTCTAAAAGCACACTTAATGAAAATTCCTGTTAGATTTCAATTGTGTCTTTTGACAGTTTTAAAACATCAGTAGCGTACTTTCTTTGTTTCTCCTCTCTTTGAAAGTTCAAACGTTTAAGAACGATCAAGAGGTTTATGCTTTTCTTCCTTGACTCCTATACATGACACTACATGGGTGGATGAATGGGTGCTTGTACGGATGCATGATGGATGGATGGACGGACAGGTTGACCAACCGATGAATGGATGACTGGATAGATGAATGAACAAGGAAAGGAAGCAACGGGGAAACGAAAAAACGACCGACTCATCGAGCGACTGATCAAGCGAGTGAGCACCGACCGACCGACTGACCGAACGATCGAACGACCGAACAACCGAACGAACGAACGAACGAACGAGCAAACGAATAAACGAACGAATTAATCAACGAATTAATAGTGCACCCATTCAAATTCAGGACTTCACTCCTTTTTTTAAATCTTCTGTAGGTTTGCAAAATGGGAACAACCAAACTTATAATGAAAATTTGTCAGAGTTTACTAAGGGGTGAGACCTTAAAGCTATAAATACAGACCTTTCTTTTATACAGTATCTTTTTCCCATGCGGAATAAGATTTCCAAAGCTTTCACCCTCAACAGTCAGCATCCCTATTACAAGAAAGGTACACAGAAATACGTATCGTTCGATCTTCATCTTTAGCTTTCGCATAAAGTCGCACTTCTACGATACTTTATATTTGGGCTTTTTATCCCATTGCAGCCTTTAAAGCCCATAGATAATGATTGCGAAATGGTATTCTAAAAGCATCTTCACAGTAAGTAATCCGAGAAAAATTAGTAGGGCGGGCGATAACGTTCATCTAATATCCAGAATAGACGGCGCTTGGTGCATTTAAAACGTATTTCAAATGAGTCGCTTAGAAATATAACCCTATGAGGTTAAAGTATATTTTGGTTGCATTAATTTTGTACCAACGAAACAAAGCATCAAGTTCAACAACTATATATGAAAAAAAAATGTATCATGTGGATGGGCCCAGCCAAAAACTTTTACATCCACACGGCTCCTTTGAACTTTAACCGTTAAGCTTAGTAGCTCCACGGAAACAATCGAAAAAAACAGAAACTAAACAAACGAAACAAAACAAAAATAACGAAGGAAGGCGAGAAAGAAAATGAACCAAAATGAAAGCTAAGTAGCTGTTGGTGGTTGCTGATGTTTGCCTGGCGTAATCTAGTTCTTAATTTCAGAGTGGCTGCTAGAGGTAATTGCAAGCTTTTTATCTTGGCTCCTACTCGAGTTTAAAAAAACGTTATTTTTTCTTTTTTAAATGGAAATGGGGATGAGCAAAGGGACGTGACCACGGAAATTAATGTCAAAACTATGCACCCGAATGACTGGCCATCAAAATTCCACCTAGTCATAATTACATTTTTTAACTTTAGGGTTTTGAGAATTTATCATTCAAAATCAAGATAAAACGTGTTCCAATTTTTTGAAGGAAAATGTCGCAAAAATATACACCAGACGACATCTTACGCAACAGCGTCGCGAGGCTTGACAGAATTTTGTCGTTTGTATCCACACTCATTACATTTTCTGGGTTTTTTAATCTGCCAAGCACGCAAACCCGCCAGGATAAAACATTTTAGGATCACTGCGTTAGCGAGAGGAACACGCGGTAAAGAGGTATTGCAAAAAAATCTTTCCAAGTACTCCAGGCAAGATTTGATATGTTATACAGTGATGTCTTGCATATTTTGTTTTTGTCATATCATTTTAACACAAATGAATATCTCGTGCATGGCACCCAGCGCGAAAGAAGTTGTTGCGTGCAGTCCTTGGGAGACTTTATTACCTCAAAAGCACTTAGGCGTCAATTTACCAGTTCATTCCTGCTGGTCATTTAGTTTTACTTATCAAATCGATCATTTGGCTCATCCTATTGATATTAGCTAATACGTTACCCCGCATTTGCATCATAAAACACTTATTTGTCTGCTTCTTTAAAAAGATGGACCCAGCTGGTCACATCACATCCAGTTTTTTTTTTTTTTGTCTTAATTACGATATATAGTAGTTTATCGGAAAGCTTCTATTCCCAGATATGGCATGAAGGCATTCTTCACGTAACCAAATGAGCATAAAAACGCTGAAAGGAATGGATCACAGATGTAGCCTTTTGGTTTCTTTTCTTCTTTCCCTTTTTCCCCTTCTTTTTCTTTTTTTTTTTTTTTAATCGTTTTGGAGAGATATTATTTTAAAGGATCACTATCTCTTTTCTTCAATTTCGATCTTGAATAATAAAGATTTAAAGTGCTCTCTCCAGTCGACAGATTCTCTTGGACGAATAAAACGGACATTAAGTCTGTTTAAGTTTTAGAAACCTCACTAATCCAGCTTCTTTCCGAGTCTTGTTTGGTTTTTGTTTATGTTACTTTCTCCGATATTGATTTTACTTTCCGTTTTTTAATTTGTTTTTTTGTTTGTTTGTTTGTTTGTTTGTTTGTTTTTTTTTTTTTGGAATCTTTTATTCTACGTATTCAGTTTGCTCCTATTTTATAGTGTTCTTCTCCGCGAGATATCTCACCAGTTAACTTCGACCGAACAGTGCAGCCTCTTCCTTGAAGCAAACGTTTCAGGGTTAGGAACACAGTTCCCTTAACGAAGACGTATTTTGGGAAAGAAGAAACTTTGAAAGCACAACTCTAAACCGAATTCAAGCTTTTCTAAGCTTTTGTGTTACTTACCGTCTTCATGTGTAAAACATCATTATCTAAAACTTATTCGCCGAAGGCGAAGTGGATATTGTTGAATAATACCCGAGACGATGTCGAGGAGATTAATTCAACAGTATTCACCGAGCCTGAGGCGAATAATCGTTTTAATATGATTGCACAGGATAATTGCTAGGGTGCTTTCGAATTATGTTGTAATCATTCGTTTTGAAGTCGAAACCATTTTGATTATTCGTACCGTGATAAAAAGCCAGTTTCCACTAGAATTTTACAGGTTAATTTAATTCTATCAGAGAAAACTTCATATATTTCTTCTGAAAAGTGTTACTCCGTACTTAATAACATTTCGTGCTCTTCGGCAGTCAACTTTCCTCAGCGCGTTCAGTAACACTGACAACACGTGAGACGGTCATTTGCAAAAAAACTCTTTCCGAATTACCTTTGGCCTCTTTTTCAAAGCGAGTCCTGGTGCTCTCCCTTTTCACATGACAACAAGTTTCAATTCCCATGCAAATTAAACTCGTTTTCAAATGAATAGAGGGTAACAGGCCTCGTTTTGAAAAAGAGGCCAAAGGTAATTCGGAAATGGCCTTTCTGCATTCTGGCGCTCCTGCAAGGTGAGTATGGCGGGATATGATACGTCATCTCCTTCATCACCAGAGCAATGATAGTAAACTAGGTTACATTAACAATTCTGTCAGATATTATGATTAAAACGATGATAATAATAACAATAATGAATACAAAAAACTGAATGAATGAAAGAATTTGATGCTTGTTGGTAAAAACGATTTGACGAAGGGTTTGATGTCAGTTTTACGGAATCGTTAATTGCAATCGGTCATCAAAATCCACCCAGGGGCCAGGGAAGGAAGCGTGAGGATTGTTCGACCAAATACACAAAATAAGCGGTCTCATTTGCCTCTATTCGACTTTTTGTTTGTTCTTTAGAACTCCCTTCAAGGGAAAACAGGGATAAGGTGATGGCACGGGCACGCGTGCGATGACACAGCACGCTGAGCGTGTTACCAATCTCAGGGCTATGCGTAACTTGATAGGCAAAACAAAGACTGGCACGGCAGCTTTTGTGTGGCATGCTTACGCCTTTATCTCAATTATTGTGGCAGATGTCACGCTTCGTGTGTGATATGACACGCGTGCGAAATGACGCGCGTGTGACATGCCACGCGTTTCTTACGGATAAAAGCCTACTAAGAAGAAGTTTTTAAACGGCAAAAAACGTTAATTCTTAAAGGAATGGCGCAAAGCTAACCGAAAAACATGCTTTATTGACAAAAGGACTGAATTAGCGATAACTTTCATTTCAGACTTAGTCCGAAAAGAAGCGGTCGGTGGTAAAGCAACAGGAGCATTGTTCATTGGCTTCTTTAAAGCGTTTGACACCATAAGCCATTCAGTTTTATTTAAAAAACTGTCTCGATAAGGCATACTGGACATGGCACTTAACTGATTTATGGATTATTTGTTCTTCCAGAAGCAGATCGTTCAATTCATATGTAAGGGAGTGTCGTCTGAATCTAATTCTGTTTTCACAGGTGCTCCTCAATGGCCAATTCGTTACTCTAAGATTATCACTCACGCAGGTGATTGGGTGATTTTCACATCCTCAAAAGATTTGCATGCTATCCAACGCAACCTTGGCGAAGACATCAGTGGTCTCGCTAGTTGGTTTCCCGATAACGAACTTATCATCAGTCTCATAAAAGGTAAAACTGAGGTGATGCAGTATAGAACAACAAAAGAGCTAAGCCTCTCAGTAAATGAATTTCGCATCAACACAAAAACAAGTTAGAGCTACCCGTCAACATGCATTTGAACCCTATACTTAATCTTAACACGCACTTTATCAAACCTACAAAAAGCAGGAGGGGGGGGGGGTTAAAGTTATTACGGCGAATCCGTCGTACACAAAAAAGGACCCGATAGTGCTGAACGAATATACAGAACAACGTGTATAATGCCTCTTTTCACCGACTGTGGAAAAAACACGCTAGGCTGGTCAGAGACACGCAAAACCTGGAGCGACGTAATTACAGGACTATTCCCTCAAACTCAAAATTTTAAAACTTTCAACTCCACCATGCCAACCCACGGTTGGAGATATTTAAGGAAAGGTTCGTCTTTTTGGTTTTGGTTACTAAAAGGCAGTATCTTTAGTCCTTTCTAGTCTTTTAACACAAGATTTTGATACGAGGAACAATGGCGCCTCCATTTTTCTCCCGAAAGTGAAAAAACTTAGCTTTGCTCGGTAAAGTTTTTATTTATAAGGCGCTTCATCTTTCAACTCTTTACCTTAAAACACATGCACATCAGCAGTAGAGTATTATTTAGGAAGTCTCCTAATGATTAGCATTGCGTATAACTTATTTACTGTAGGTTAGCATTAGCCAAAGTTATGTTTTATCTTATTTTCGTTCTAATTCTATTTGCATTTTTATCATTTAAAAAGGATCCTTTTGATAACAGTACTTATCTTCGTTATAATTATCATTCTTAAATCCGTTCTAGGGCAGTTAGCAAAGGTACGATCGCGAGTTTCTTTTAATATATATTCTGTCCTGTGTTGTCTCTTTGTGACTCTTTGTTCTTTCTTTGTCTCTCGGCCAGTGGCGTCATAGTCATTGTAAAGTCGGAACATTCCAAAGCCCTGCATAGAGAGCCTTTAGCATTTCTGAACTGGAAAGCAAAGCAAATTTAACATGAGTGAATGAAATCAAGAATTATAATCACTTGATGATTATTGTATTTCTCTTACAAATTCTAAGTGAAAAAAATTGTTTACTTTCAAAGAACTATCAAATTGTTAGGGAATACAGTTCTTATTTTCTAATGGAATTCTTACTTCCAATTTAATATTGCTCCTCCTGCCTCATTAATATAGTGAAAAAAGATTTAACCAGTCATTGGAACAATTAAAAACCTGACAGAATTATGGTTAATCCTTGTTATCGTCGAAAGTTAGATTCTTAATGTAATTATGTGAGTTTGAGTTCGCTTTGAGTTCAAATTGTCACGAAGTTTAGATGGTGTAGATTCTAAGGGGAGTAAGTAAAAGGAAAACAGGACAATTCTAAACTTTTGATATCACAAACGTGACCCAGAATTCATTTGGAACCTTGGAATCGCGAATTCTTACCGCACTTGTATTTGGTGTAGGTAAAGAATACCTCAGCCAGTGTATCTCATCCCACACCCGTGTGATCGAGGCGGGACTATATGAATCGATAAGTAGACTCGTGATCCGATTAATTAAGGAAATCGAGAACTTAAGCGTAGCGACCACGCTCTTTTGTTGGTTTGGCATCGGTCACAAATATGATTTTGGAGTCCCAAAGAAATGATCACGTTTCATCATTAAAACATAGAGATACATAATTGTTTAAGCAATCCAGGATGAGTCGGTGCAGAAAGTTCTCCAGACTTAACACTCCAAAATCATTTGATGTATATATTTTTTTTCTTATTTCATGAAAAATTACCAAGCTGTAGTTCAAAGAACGACAAGTGCAGACATAAAAGTGACAATCAAAGCCAGTGTCATTCAACAAAAGGAACAATAACAACCATGAGCAAAATATAAAATACAAAGAAGTACGGATAAAAAGCGAAACCCCTCTAAAGGGCAGCGAAAAACAAAAAGTATCACGCCTTACTGACTGAAACCTGAATAAAAAAATTTAACTTTTCCTCTAGATGATTTAGAATGCCTTGAATAATCAAACCTTGTTGATATCCAGTCTTCGTTTTCCCCCTGGAACCATGTTTCCCATGCATTCACCTTCGTAGGCCAGCATTACCAATAGAAATATGACACAGATGACTTTCCCTACCACTTTACTCTTCATCTTTTGACTCTGCAAACTGGTGTCTTTTTATTTTTTCTTTTTTAGCAACTAGTGATGTTGCTCTCTTCTTGTTGTTCACTCCTTGTCGGCGATCTAAGCCCTTTTATTTGTGGAGACCTAAATGACACAAAAGATATTGCGAAAGATCTCTCGAAATATCGTTTATAAATGTAAAGAACAAAGCAGATGGCCGTGAGTAAGTCTTCGCTTGCAAAATTGCAAGTAAAATGCGAGGGAAGTCAGAGAGGATCATTAAGTAAGGAAAATCAAAAAAATTAAATGGAATTTTATCCTCATTAGTAGATCGTTATGAACTTGTATTGACTCATTTAAATCATAGCATTACATGTTAATCCCAGATATCTAGCTTAGGTGAAGACACATTTGTTGGCAGATGGTCTATTTAAAGAGAACTTTTAACAACCTTGATCCATTAATTCAATTTCACAATAGATTTACGATGTGCAACTTTGAAAGCCTTTTTAGCTCGATCGATTAACGTGAGATGTATTATATCGAAAAGTAAGTTATCCGATAGGGATTACTAAATGACAAGAGAAAAATAGAGATTTAAGAGAATTGCCTCATTCAATCTTTCTGGAAAACGCGAAATTTGCACAGAAGCCTTTTGTAATTAAATCAAACGCAAACATTGTTCAAAGGTCGTGGTTATTTATCGCAGTTTAGGTAGATTATAATGATGATAACGAGCCCTTGTAGGTGGAAATAAGGTATGATAACGCTTGATAGGATAACCTTGGCATAAATCTTCACATTTTTTGCTTAAACATGGAAGTTTTAAACAAGATAAATTACCTTTAATCATAATTTCCACTCTCTGACGAGGTTATCTACGTCACTCCAATCATGATTTGAATGTGAACACCACTGCATTAACTATATATAAGAAAACTATATGCAGCAGATATATATGATGCATTGTTTGTTGCTTGTTGCAGAACCTAGATGTACAGTTAAACGACGTTCCCTGCTGTAAAGTTATAAGAAGACTGCACATTTCAACCAAAATCGTTGCTGTCTAGGTTCTCTTTACGACAGGTAGCTAGGTTTAAAGTTTCCAGCACGTAATCTCAGCTTAACGCTTAACGACTTCGTTGCACGCAAACACTACGTTCATCCTGATTTAGCTGCCAAGATGTCGTGCATAAAGGCTAAATTGGATATAATATATAACATCGTTATGATGATATAACTGCAAGATCCGTTTAGAGGACATGGCAAAGAGAAAATCCTAAAACTCTGACAAAACTGAGACAAAAAGGAATCCCATAAAATGAATGAATAAACAGATAACAATAGAGATCAACTATGAGGCCGTGCGCACATGGAGAGCAGCTAATATTGCCTAAGACAGTCGAGTGAAACCACACACTTGATTTGCATAAGTTATTGTTGTCAGGTAATTGTCGTTATATATGAGGAAGTTGTCATGCGTAGGGCTCTGTACAAGCAAACTTCGGTGTTAGGTTTTCAGCAACAGCACTCAAGTGAGCGTAGTTTTCAGATTGCATCATTTTCGTAGCAGCCAGATTGATGATTAGTTGGACCTCACGTCATGATGGTTCAAAAACAAAAAAAACAAAAAAAAAAAAAGGAGAGAGAGAGAGGAAGAGGAAGTTAAAAAAGGTTTTGCTTCCTACAGGTAAGCTTCATCTCATTGTTTTTTGTTTTTTTTTCTGTCTTGGTCCTTCTGTATCTCTATTTTTTCAGCTTTAAAGTTTAATTCTATGTTCACTTCTATCTAAAGGCTCCACTTCAAGGTTTGATGGTTTTCTTTCTTCACATTTAAGTGGGGCTATAAGTTTCACTTAACCTTAAAAGTTTCACTTAACCTAAGGTTACAAGCTGGGTACATAAGTGTTAAGCTCTTGCAGCTTGATAATTACAACCTTCCATCAACTATTTCAAAATACAAATGCACACGCAGTCTCTTGATTCTTTAGTTTAACTCTGTTATGTTTCAATCTTTCAAAAAGAAGAATAAGCCAGAAGCCAGAAAAAGCCAGAAAAGCCAGAAGTATCAAAATTACAAAAATGGTCTGCAATAAAAACGCTTGAAAATGAAGCCACGAGATGATTTTTATGCGTTTTTTTTTTCTAAAAAATCTTTCGGGATGTCAATTCCAGCCTATTTCAATGCTTTGAAGTGTTTCACGGACTAGAATTTAGTGTTTTCTTCTTTGGATTGGAATACCCACGTTTACGATAAGTGGAGGAGTTCTATCCAGATCTTCTTAAGCAACCGACTTGCTTTTGCTTGTTATTTTTTTCTTCCTCGTTCTCCTCTCATTCCTTTCTTCCTCTCTTTCTTCTTCCTATACTTCTACAAGTTTGAATCACAATGCTAAGACGTTTCTGTCATTGAACGGCTATGCATGAAAGGTGCCATTTTTTTTCTTTTTAATTTCATTTTTGGCCAATGATAATCGAAAAAGGTTGTTAAAAAATATATAATGATCATAAAATGAAATAAAAAACTGCAATAAATGGAGGTATTAAGTGAGACATTCACAAATGTTTCAAATCGTGAATTAGATAGGGTCTTAGCCTTATGTTAGCTGCACTAATCACTGTAAAATTAATACAATGATGGAAAAAAGAAATTCATATAGATTTTCTTCGAAACAAAGTGAATGTCACTAGCAATTATTTCAAATCATTTTTCAAAAGAGCCCTGGACGCGATTCATTTCAAAATTTGTCTGGATTACTTTATTTGCTTACTTTGTATTTAAGTAAACTCTTATTTCCCTTCACCAGTTTATATTTTTTTTTTTAATTCAAATTCGCTCTGGCTCGAAGCATGAGCTTTGGAAACTTTCTACGGAAGCCAATTTACATTATAAACTTAGTTGATGCAACCAAATTATTTTTTAATACCCCCTATGACGCAGCAGTTTCTTTTGAAACGTAGACCCTCCATTCATTTGTTGTGTTTGAATGGGTCATCTATCAAAATAATACGGTTCAAAACGTAAAACAAATAGGCAGACTGTCTCATCAACCAACTGAGTCATTACATCTCGCATAACTAGAGAAAAATTTTCAAACAAGATACATGTATCCTTTTCGGACTTTTAAGAGGAAGTAAGGGAAGGAAGAAAGGGGTTGGCGAGGGGGCTGATAAGTGTCACCCCAACCACGCTCTTCACTTCTGGACGATAAGTTGGATGAAGCTGGCCTTCATTAAGACTTGACGTCATAGTCTATTCAAGATTATTTGGTTATATCAACTAAGTTGAAATTGTAAATTGGCCTCCGTAACGAGTTAAAAAGCTGACGTTTCGAGCGTTAGCCCTTCGTCAGAGCGAATGGAGGAATTGTGGGTTGTGTGTGGGTTTATATGCAGAAAGTGGAGCTACGCTGTTGGTGGAAACATGGCCACGAGAAAAACACGAATAAATTAGTAGAATGAAAAGCGTTCGTTGATACCTGTGGGATTAAGAGTGCCGATTTGAAAGATAAACTTTTGTCTAAGAGTTTTGCGGCTTCCCGAGCTACATAAATGTAAGGAAAGACCGCAGATTACCATATTTTGCTTAGAATGATTAAGTAAATTAACGTGTCTAGCGACTGGTTTTGATACGTCCTTGTCATTCCTTTCTACGTCGTGAAGGTGTTCTCGGAATCGGCCTCCTAGTCGTCTTCCTGTTTCGCCGATGTAAATATTTTTGCAATAAGGGGAGTATGCAATAGATGACATTGGTGGAGGTGCACGCGCACGCGAAGTGATCAGTGATCTTAATGGATCGTTCGGGTCCCGATATTATCTTAGCGTTGTGAATGAAATGACAAGTTTTGCATCGTGCGCGAGCGCATTTAAAAGTGCCGGGTTGGTCATTAGTTTCGAAGAACTTTTGACCATAAAATTGCTTATGTTTTTGCTGCGTTTAAATGAAATGAGAGGAGGTTGCGAAAAGATAGTGCCAGTCTCTGGATCGTTTTGAAGTAATTCAACTTATATAAGAATAATGGATTTAACTGAGTGGTTGTGAGGGTGAAACAAGAGAGTGAATGGAATGCGGTCGGAATTTTCCTTCTGCGACGTTTGTTAGTGCTGATTGTCGATCAATAAGTTGGGCGCGGTGGTGACCGCCTTGAACGACAGAAACAGGGTAACCACGTTATTCGAAAAACTGGCACATTGACTCTGATTTGTGGAAAAAAATCAGAGTCATCACTATATACCTGGCGAAGTCTTAGAAACTGAGAAAAGAGAATGGAATTCTTAACAAGAGATGGATGCGAAGATGATTACAACAACTAACTATGCGAGTCGGTAGGTTTGTAATACGCACTAGTGCATAAACCGTTTCCCTCAGTTGAACTTTGATATCTAAAAAGGATAAAGAATTTTCGGAAATTTCCAAGGTATATTTTAGAGCCGGGTGAAAGGAATTGACTGCAGTTATGAATTTAGTTAGCTCCTCTCTGGTAGAGGAGGTAGTACCGATACAGTCGTTAATGTAGCGACCGTAGAGTTCAGGTTTGGGACCTTTGTATTGGCTAAAAAATTGGTGTTCAACAAAATCTACAAAAAGATTGGCATAGCTGGGTCCCATTTTGGTACCCATGGCTACCCCATTTGTTTGTTTGAAAAAGTTGTCTCCGAATGAAAAACAATTGAGTGTGAGCACTAGTTCAACTAAGCGAAGTAGTGTTTCAGATTTAGGTTCCATAACAGTGCGTTGATCAAAACAAATGTTTCAGGGTCAGAAGACCTTCGCCATTAGAAATAATAATAAAAGTCTTTATTAAGCACTCTAAACAACAAACGTGTTTAGTTACAATGATATGAACTCAGCAAGTATAAAACTAATGAACTAACTAAATTACTAACTGACTAACTAATAAGAGAGCAAACATCTATTAACAAAAGTCCTCTTGAAACGTTCAGTTCTGACAAGCGGGAGAATATAATTATGGCGCCTCTTACGTAGCGTAACCATTGGTCGCTCTGGTGGCAAAGGGTCATCTAAAGCTGTTGCAAAATCGCTGTCGGTGATCTTGGCCCACAACTTCTTATCTTTTATAATAATATTTTCAATCGAAAAAAGCTCTTTACAGTAGCCAAGCTTAAAAGCTCTCCTGAACAGCCTGTCTATGCGACTCAGATACTTATGATAATACGCGCAGCCCTATACTTCTACAGCATATGTAAATAT